ACTGGTGCAGGGGCAGGTGGGACTCTGGTAGGGAGCCAACAGGGCCAGGGGGTCACCCTTGACCAGTCCCACACCCCTGGAGGGGTTCCCAAGCCCACTCTTTCATCATCAGGGCCCAAGGGCAGTGGGAAGGCCTCCTCCTCTTCAGCCTTCTCCACAGCTGGGAGTGGCAAGGGCAACCCAAAGCCTAGACCACCAGCGCCTGAGGGGACCAGGTGTACTACACCAGCCAGCACACCCACTCAGCCTGTCCCTGGGCCCTAGCTCCGGCCCCACCAATATGGCCCTTTGGGAAGGGAGCCACAGCTATGCACAGGCAGCTGTGGGGAGACCTGAAATTGGGGGGCCTGGACCCTCCACTGTCAGCCCTTCCAGCTTGGGCAGGAGGGCCCCCTTTCCAGCACTCACCTGCAGGCATGGGGTGAAGTACTAACTGCCCAAGCAGAAGAACCTGCACTTTGAGATCCAGGTGCAGGCCCTGGCTTGAGTAGTGGGGGCCCCCAAGATTGTGGCGGCCTCCTGCTTTCATGGCAAGGGGATGTTTTTTCTTGCCTCAGAGGCCACTGCACAAAAGGTGGCGGAGAGGGGGCTCATAGTGGAGGGCAAGTACACCCCCCTTGAGCCTCTAAAAGAGCTGGGAACCAGGGTGGTCCTCGGCTCCATCCCTCCCTATATCCCCAATTGGTCCCTGCTCCCCCAGCTCCAAACCCTGGGGAGAGTTATCTCCCCAGTAGTGGCCCTCTTGCTGGGGTGCCAAGACCCCAGCCTCTGCCACATATGCTCTTTCCATCACCAGGTTATAATCCAGTTGATCCTTGTAATTCTTTTTCAGGGGGACCTGGTGAGGGTTTTCTAATCACTGGGTGACCTGAGATGCTTCTAGGGCTCTTGCATCATGAGTGCCCCATGGGCCAGGAGAAGAGGGCATTCACAGGTCCCACTGGCAAGAGGGGTGCCCCTGCTACTGGTACCCCTCCCCCCTCTTCAGTCCCCCTGGCATCCCAGCCACATCATCCAGCCCCCCTGTGAGCTCAGCAGACCCTGCCCCCAAACAAAGCTCAGCAGGGTCTCCGGGAGGGCAGCAGCAGCCAAGGGGGGAGAGAGCAGGGCACCCTGCCCCTAGGCACTGTAGCTGCCCCCCCCCCACCGCCAACCTTCACCTACTCCTACTGGAGACTGTTCACTTGAGAACCATCCCATGGCTGAGTGGGTGCAGGTCCCCTCCGGGCACAAAACCAAGAGGAAGGCCCAGGTACAGTTGGAGTCCTCTGACCTGGAGGACTCCTCCCCCACTCCCAAAACCACCATGGGGAGAAAGGAAGGGCTCAGCTCCTCGGGGCCTCCCAGCTGCGCCTGACACCCCACCCCCTGAGAAAGATCAAATGGGTGATCCCCGTGGAGGAGATTTTGGGCCTGGTACATGATCCTGAACAGGAACACATGGAGGAGGCCCCTCACTCCACTGGCCTACCCCCTGAGACCACAGGCACCAAAGCTGAGGCCGACCCAAAGGAAGATCCAGCAGTGGAGCTCCCCCACACCCTGATGATCTGGGGGACATGGGGGGGCCAGGGACTCACCCCAGTGAGTCCTGGGGAGGGAGGTCCCTTTTCCCAGGACCCCAAGGCAGACACCAAAGCTATCCTAATGCCTGATGGGTCTCTTCCCTCCCCTCCCAGAAAAACCTCACTTCCAGCCTGCCCCATGGTCCCACAGCAGAGGGGATCAGGGTGGAGTCCCCTAATCATCAGGCCAATCTTGTCGGGGACCCTGAAGAGACCTTCTGGGGCTCCAGCCCTACCCCATCACCTTGTGAAGGAACCTCATCCCCACCCTTACCCCCACCTCTGTCCTAAGAGGCTGCAAGCTCTCCCAATCCCAACTGGAGTCTGGGGTCTTAGTGGACCAGGGGGTTCAGATGGTGCCTAAAGAGCCCACTGAGCCCCAGGATGCCCAAGAACCGGCAAGCTCTGTGGAGTCTACAGACCTCTTGGTCCTGGTGGTCCCCAGTGGTGAGCTACTTGCATTTCTTGACCACAACTACATGTGGCAGTCCATCAGCAAGGTACAGCTCACCTTGGACCACTGGGGAAATTTTGACAGCATCCTCGCCACTACAAGGGCACTGGTGGGGGAAGGCAGGGGGCCCAAAAGCTGCAACACCCAGACCTATAGGCGGGTCCCCAGTTTTGTACATGCCCTCCATACTTATGGGAGGGGGCACTGCCTGAGCCAGAGGGCCCCACACTGGGCTTGAGATGCATGAGGCCCCTGCTGAAACATCTATTCCACTCCCCCCCACCCCCAGCCATGAGATCATTTAAGATCACAACCCTCAATGTCCACAGCTGCAGTGGCCCCAGCTCCCTGATGGTGTGGAGCCACACAGCGCTCTGCTGACTCCAGCTGCACCTACATGATGAAGCAGCGGTAGTGTGGGTGCCACACAGCCAGGGCCAGTCCCTGCTGCCCTGTGCTATGCTCCACCATAAGACCCCAGTGACCCTGATGGTAGCTGCTACTGCTGGTGAGTGCAGGGCTTTTTTTTTTTTTTTTTTTTTTTTTTTAATTGCCAGGATGCTGGGGCCAGGTGGAACAGTGATGGAAGAGCTTGGTGGGCAGGTGGGGAATGGGGCTGGGCAAGGCAGCGTTCTGGGGGACTTGAGGAGTGGGTGAGAGATGAGGCCAGTAGGGGTCTCCCTGTGGTCCCCTCCCCCAGCCCCCTACCCTTTATTTACTGGCATGGAATCTGGGTCCCAGCTCCCTGCAGAGTTCTAATTTTGCTCCTGTGCTGCAAGTTTGCAGCATGGGAAGTTGGTTTTTTTTTTTTGTTTGTTTGTTTCCACAGGTGCTTCTCACAGTGTCTCAAAGGGCTCTGAGATTCTGCAAGAGCCACATGTGTACTCATCTGGACATGCCCAATGAATCTAGAGGTGGCCTAAATGGTTTGGGCTTTGTTATGCTCTGGCACCTTACTGATGTCCAAGACACAGATATGTTTCTACTAAGGCTACCTGTGATTTTTACAAAGGTGAAACTCTTAGCTCATGTGGAACTCTAACAGTCTTCTTTAGCAATTCCTTGTCCTGGTGGAAGAGTGTAAGAAACATCAGTTACCTGTAGGTATTGTAACCTAGAAAGAATAGCTATTGAAAGTCTTGATTTATATTGATGTAGCAGACAGCATGATACCATTTCAAAATGAAGACCCATGAGAGCTGGGAAGACTAGGACAAGGTCGCACAACAGGATTGGATTCTTTACAGATGAGAGAACTTTGACTAGACCCTTAACAAATTTTAAACACACTTGGGGGAACAGAACACTTGACCCAATTCCCATTAAGTGAAAAATTCTATACTGAGGTCACCTGTAAATGCATCCTGACTAAGCTTAATTTCAGGTATCAATGACTCAATTAGTGTAAAGGATTTTCTGCAGCACCAGTAGCAAATATTGTCAATTTTGTCAAGTAAATCTCACAGAACTTTTTTTTCCCCACTATTGAACTATTGCTTAAAGGGGAAAAAAAAGACCCTGAACAGCAAATTAGCAGGTCTTGCATTTCTATTTAATCCTTGACCTCTGTGTTTAAAGCTACCAATAACAGTGGTGTTTAACTCTAATTATGACAGGAATTTAAATGATTCACTAGTGACATGCACTACTCTGCCCTCCTCTGCACCTTCAGTATAAGATGTAATGATCTGCATAATTTAATCCTGGGTAATTTCTTGCAAAGCTTTCACAGAAAAACCTGAAATATAGGGAACTCCAGGATTTGTGCAAAAGGTTTGGACAGACTTCAAGTAAACCCTTGTTTCCCATGCATTCCAGGTGATGCCTTATTTTCATTGAACCACAGGTCACACAAAATCAAGCAAATCGCACGATTAAACATGATCCTAAACTTGGCATAGCCAGTCCCTCAGCAAACAAGGCTGGCTTCAGACAGTAACAAAAAAGATTTTTTTAAGTCTTAGACAAAACCCTCACTCTCAGAACTGAAATCTGAGAGCCAGAAGTACCAAAAACTGTACATAACTCAAGTTACAAGTCTCTGTCTTCTGTATAGTTGTCAACTCTATTTAAATATAGATTCACTGTAAACAGAATGTCATTCATCTGTGGCTGCTCTAATGCAAGCCTTGAATATATATGCTCCCCTCCCTATTCCCTATAATTAAGCATTACTGACCTATGGAGCTTATGAATCTCTAATGTTACTGACAGCTGAAAGGCAATATCCCTTCATCCAAAAGAGAGAAGCCTGTGCAGACAACTAACTGCATAAACATTGGTTCATAAGACACCTGTGTATGAGCAACCAGACTGCCAATCGCAAATCTAAATTTCAGAAGCCACCACAGAACCAGCAGACATCAATTAGCTCTTGTTGCTATTAAATCTAGTTTACATGAAGTGGTAAACTTAGGATGAAAGGCTGTAGACCTCATTTACCAGCCACTTCAGGGTAATCCAGTTCCTCCACAAAGCAGTTCCTCAAATGAGGATAGGTGTTCTTCTCTCAAATGAGAAACACCAGCTTAAAGGAATTTCTGCAGGACAGCAGAATCCCTTAGCATTACCATGAACCTCTGATGTTTACAAAAATATTTCCCCTTTATGTCACTTCTCACAACAGTCTTCCTGCTCCCTGTTAGAAAGGCCAAAAAGTATTCACATAATCTATATTAAAGTCTTGTAACTTTCTCCCACTGCTGCAGTAAGGCAAGGCTTTCTTAGTGCCAGGATGCAGTTGGCTGCATTTGCTGGGAGTGCCCTCCCTCTAGTGGCTGTGGTGAGTGGGTACCTCAGCCATTTCAAGAGCTTGAAGGTAAAAGATAGGTTTCTGTTTATGTTGAAATTTTCACATTTTAAGGTGTATGAGGGTTTCTAAATGACATAGCTCTGACTTTACATCAGAATCCTGGAGGAGTTAAACACATGCACTGTTAAAACAAGAAAACTGCAATAAGGACAGTGTGAATTCTGGCTACACCTCCAACCTGTTCTACACAAGTTAGGAACATCCTGGATTCCAATCCCTCCATGCTAGTTGGAGACTAAATCTTGTACCCCACCATACAGGAAATGCACTGTGCATCCCTGCATTTTGTAACAAGTCTCTTACTATTTGGTGATCTTAGAACCTCAGTTTTGGAGTCATGTTATTATTTGAGATCCCCCCCCTTCCCCAGTTGAGTCCTTGTGGTTTCAGAGAAAACTTTAAAGGAATAAACCCAACAGAAATGAGTGGGCCAATTAAAAGAATTCCAATGTTTCTTTAAAAAAGTCTTAAGACTTTAAAAAAAGATGATGTCATGATTTTTGAACTTGTGGTATTGATAATACTATCTTCAAAGCACTGTACAAACAATGGATGATTGGCCTTTAAAATATTCCTAAAGTAAGATGAGTGGGAAAAGCAGAAGTATTAAAAATAAGTCTTGGTTCAAGCAAGGCAGCTAATGCACATCAGTTGCACTTCTCTTCATTGTATTTTTTTAGTTTTACAGCAAGGTTTCTCTCATGGGGAAAACCAAGTGGCTTTTCTTCCCTGTGTTTTCACACAGGACATGTGTTAGTTATCCCAGGGTTTAAAAAATGCTGTTTAGCAGTGGAAAAAACAAACCAAGCCTCCTCCTGGTTTTAAAGGAACTAGCCATGACGAGGAACTGTTACATAAAGACCCTTTAAAGTACACAGCTCTCCAGGCTGTAATCAAACAAGCTGCTTGGATACACAACTCCTATCCCCAGGGGCATGACAGGTGAAGGACTTTTCACAGCAGCTGTCAAGCTACAACAACAAAACAAGTGCTTGGCTTTGGAGAGTTCTCACCCCAAGGATCCCAAATTTTGACCTCAGTCTATGTGAAAAGCATTGAATAAAAGCTCAGGGTATCAGGAAAATTTGAGCCCTAAATTTTCCTAGAGTTACCCAACGCTCAAGCAACTAGAGGGCTTTCTGTGAAAACTTACAAGACTCTGGAAAGTGAGACAGTGGCTTTGCTAAAAGGCTGGTGCACTGCAATAAGATAACTGCTGCTTCCCTTGGCCACATCTGCTCAGGTGCAAATCTCAGTTGCATTCTCTGGCTGATAATAGAACTTGGTGTAGTTTTACATCTGCTCTGGAAAGCTGTTTGACATCTCAAGCTGGAGGTGCAACTGTTGTTTTTCTTTGCACCAGAGGGCATTTTTACATATGCTGGGAAGGGGGGTGTTAATTAGAGCGGCTCTGAATAAGCTTTAGTTAAAGTGCCCCGCCACCATTTTGAATCACAAAGACACTGATATACGAGATGTAGAGGCTAACTGAAGCATGATACTTACTATGCTTCAGCAGACTCAGTTAATCAAGTCTGCTTCAACGCGCTGTAATTACAACACATTGGAGCAGCATCCCAGCTCATGTACGGACACCCAGGGATAGCTTCTTTCTCCAGTCAAATGTTGCCTATTGCTAGACCTCTTTGCCAGCTCCACTCGGTGCTGCTCTCTCAAAGATGGTGCCCTACTGAACTCTTGTTCTGTCATTCATGCAAACACGAGTCAAAAAGCATTCACTCAAAGCCTACTAAGTTGTCCTAACTTTTTTTCTTTTTTCCTAAGGAGGAAACTATAGTCTGACATAGTTTGTACTAGAGGAAAGTGCAGCCTTCTCTTTTCATTCAGGGTTTTGCAGAGGGCCTTACTAGTTTGTCCAGAGTAACAGAAGTCCTGCCCTATTTCTTACCATTGCTAGATAACATCTTTGACTTTTGGGGCCCATTTATTTTGTCAAAATTAATACAAACACCACTACCATAATGACCTGCCTAGTGGGGAAGTTTCTTCCAACCCACCCCTTCCTCTGAAGTCCTAAAGCGTTAGAATTTATATCCATTATACACTTTTACTTGGGTTTCTACAGGTGTTCTCTCTATCCCTGTAAATGTCCAAACCTCTTTTCAAATCCTGCTAACATCTTGGCTTCAAGAAAAACTTGTACAATTAAATTCCACAGGTTGGCAAATTATCAGATTTTTGTCTTGGAAATGCTACTTAATTCCTACTTTCCTTGAGTACTTAAGCTGAGGTAAAAGAAAATGAGTATCCTCTCTCCAAGAGAGCTCTCCTCTCATTGCCACAAAATTCCTTCCAATTCAGTTATATAAAATGAAAAAAAAAACAACCAAATAATGCTGCTCCTAAACCTGCTGTGTGTGTACCCAAGACTAAACACAAAGAAGAGGATTCTGTTTAACGCTAATGTACTTCTTGGCCTTCTCTAGCAACACAAGGTCCCAGGATTATCTTGCAGGATGTCATTGTACATTGCCTGAAACAGCAATCAGCCATCATTCTGACCTGTTCTATTGTTGCCTTTCAGCAATAAACCTACATAGCCCCTATTATCTCTGTCTATAAAGCCTCTGGCCAAAACCCAGATTTGAGGAGAAGTTACAGCACTAGGACACAGTTCTGAAAACACCTAAAGGTTGCATCGTTTATACAATGCCTAACACAATGGTCAATATAACCAAATCCTCAAAGCTACTATAATACAAACAGTACAGGAGATTTAGCTAATTTTGTTGCAGTAGGACTTCAGTAACTATTTCAAACTTGCTCTGGAATGTACTGCCATGTCCAGCCACAGACACACACGCAGTAAAGAGCACCAAAAATGTGATATTAATGCATGTCCGAATGTTCATTTAGAACAAATGAGTGGTCACATTTAACACGAAGTATAGCAAGTCAGCTGAAAGGACAGCTGAATCACAAATGGAAAAACATCAGCTCAGGTGATTTGAGAGACTGCATATGACCTGCCTTCCTGGAAAGACTGAGAACACAGCTTCACCCAGCTAAGAATTTTCTGTACTGCTCTGTATCAGATTTTGACTGCACATTCTGTTCCTAAATAACAAGGCTGGTTGGGATTTCTTTTACTTAAGTTTTTCATCAGAATATGCCAAACTATAAAGAAGGTTTTTCTGAAGCAGGATGGACTTCCAGTGGAAGGAGGAAAAGATGATACTCCCCAAAATAGCTAACCCAACCTGGGCCTTAAGGAGAAGCAGGTTCAAGTCCATACTGCTGTTGGAGATGTTGGAACACCATTTTGTATGAAGAATTAACTGCAAAGACTCATTGTGATATCAGCTGATGTGGCAAACTGTATGCTTTTCCACAACAACAAAAACATAGTTTTACAAACCATCACACATTCCTAAACCTTGCAAAACAAAAATGTTAGCTGGCCTTCCCTATTAAAAATTATAAGCTTTAAAACTAGCCTCTGGAAAACGCTGGAAAAAACAAAGCCTGTTACAGGTCTGTAAACATACTAATATTAAAACAGTTTACTTCAAAACAGAAGCAGAAAGGTGAATGAGTGAACAATGAAATTCTCTTATTGCTGGCAATGGACAGGTTCCCACAACTGACAGATGGAGAATTGAATATGCATTCTGCTGTGTTGTTCTTGTGTGATTGAAAGCAGCAGCTGCCAAGAGTGTTTCAAGATATAGTTCTTATCCAATATGCAGTTAATTTTCTTGAAGCTGCTTTTAGCCCTGTAACCAGACTGCTAGTGCCAGCTTGTGGAACAGACTGAGCCCTTATTACAATTAAGACTATTCAATATTTGGCAGGGTTTTTGAAATTAAAATAAAAGTGAGAATACTTGCAGGGATAATATCTTCAGCATCTACCCCAACACCTGGTTAACTGGGGTGTCATCAGTTCAAACTTAATCTTTGTTAAAATTCTGAGTGATGATGAAAAAAGCATGGAAACATAAAGCAAAGGGCAAAAATAAATAATGAATAATGTGCCCTTAGTTTTTTCTTTCCCTATCACAGTGGCTGGAAGTGGTGTCACACAATACAGCATTACCACATCACAAACAAAACTACTAAAGAAAAATCAGATTATGCTCCCATACTTCAGCCAGTCATGACATCAAAATAAAATTCTGCTCACAATGTGCAGATTTTGCATTACATCTTTCTTGTGCACGTCAATAAGCTGTGAAATAACTCAACAATGCTCAAGTTGTCATTAGGACTCGGTTAAAATCTGAGGGCCTGCTGCAATGTCCAGTAAAGTTTGTCTGCAAGCATAGGATCTGAAGTAGTGAAATTTCTCCCAAACAGAATTTCCTAAACCCAATTATGCAAGTTTTCCTTTCAATGAGACCTTGTCCTGGAAAACATGAAAGCCTACAACGTGACTTTAAGAAACTGTAGACTATGCATAGGGGGGTTAACTCAGGCCCCAGAGACCTAAAGCAGCTGGATCATAAGATCCCATTTCCAAAAAGGGAGTTAAAAAAAAAACAAAAAAAAACAACAAGTGTGCGCCCAGAAGAGGCAGTGTTGCAGCCTACTCAGACCAAGAGAAGCCTAATAGCACAGAGGACTTGTTTGATGGGACCCAAAAAATAGTAGCCTAGTGAGCATTTGAGTTGGGAGAGCTCTAGTAGGTGTTGGAGACTGGACGAACAGGAGCGTTTCTCATCTTTTTCAGCTATTGCATAGTTGCATTGATTTAAATGCTAGTGTACAGCTACATAGGATAGAACTTTTATATTTATTTTAAAAAATGAAAAGAGTACCTGTAGATGTGCTGGGAAGCTGCTTCAACACTGTAATTACAGACCTTCCCTCCCCTCCCCTCCCCTGCAGCAATTAGCACCACTTTTAGCTGGCTCTGGCAGCTGCGCCCAGCAGACCCCACGCTGCCTCCCTCCCACCACATGCAGGAGCCCCACACCCAACTGCGCTCCTCCGCAGCTGTGCAGCGGGGGCTGCCTGATGCCTGAGCTCTGATGGGGCAGCCACGCTTGCAGCCATGTCTCAGGGGGTGGCTGCAGGCGGGCGGTGAGAGCTTGGTCCCTGCACACCAGCAGTGAGCACCCATGGCCGGGGCCAGCACCTCTCAGGCTTAATATCGCCCCCAGAACCGATACTATCAGGTGCGGGGAATACATGGGTGCGATCTATACATGGACTATTTTCTGAAAATACAATTTTCCACGGGTTATATATTGGTGCAGGTTATATGTGAGAAAATACGCTACAGAGCTTCAGAGCAGACTTGATTAACTGAGTCTGCTTGAGTATGCCAATTAACATGCATCAGCCAGCCTCTGTGTCTCACATATCAGTGTCCCCACACTTCAAAATGGTGGTGAGAGCTTGTTTGATAAGCTTTGGTTAAACTGCCCCCACTGCCATTTTGAAATGTGGGGATGCTGATACAGAAGATGCTCAGAGAGCCACTCTAATTCAAGTGCCCACCTCCAACTCCCAGAGCATATGTAAGAACACCCTTAGACTCATGCAAAATATAGAAGATTTTTCTTCTTATTGGCAGTTACAAACAAGCTAATTGAACCCATAAGAACTCGACAGTTTTCTAAAGAAGTGATACAAAATCTTCTCTAGCCTATTAGGTGCTGGTCTCTAGGTGCCTCTATAATACATGTTAGAGCACTGCACAGGTTGCAACAAATCCATTTATTCACCAGTCATTAAGAACTCCAACACTCTTCTTTCCCTTACCCCAATCTCACTTCTGTCCCAACTGCCTTTAATTTGAGGGTCCATTTTTGAGCTGCTGCTTTAAAACTCTTGGTCAACTTTGATATAGTAGTATGTGGTAGTGTGCTGCAGAGCAACTGTCATCTTAATTTCTAAAAGGAATGGACAGTTCACCATGTCTGGGCAGCTCTCCTAATTAGTTGGCAGAACAGTTGACAGATTACTCCCAATATATAGAAAACAGTTGTTCATTAAAGCCAATGCACAACTTTAAAATTCTTGAGGCCATTTTAATCAATTCCATCATCCAGCTGCACTTGAATGACTGCACAAGGCATCTCCTACAGCAGTGGTCCACAACCTTTTTTGTACTAGGACCCATTTGTAAAATGGCCAGTCCTGACCCAGTGCCTTACACTCCTGACCCGCTGGCCCCAACATCAAGTCCAGCCCCCCAGTGTGTGGGGCAGGGAGTGGGTATGTGGGGGCCCCCAAGCAGCCCATTGTAGGCTGGAACTGTCAACCTGCAAGGGAAAGCCACTATGTCCCATGTTTTTTTTCCTTTAAAAGGAAAAATCAAATTTTAAAAAAAGGTTGTTGATTCATTTTTAAAAGTTTGTCTGTGACCCTTTCATATATTCTTGTGACCAACTTTTGGATCATGACCCACTAATTGAAAAAAATGCTGTCCTACAGTACATGAACTCTGCATGTTTATAGTGAGCCTGCCACATTTCAGACAGCTATACAGATCTGAGGCCCCATCTATACATTACACTGAAGGTATGATTAACCAGTTAATCATGCCTTAAGTGGTCACCTGGCCACATATCCAATCAGTTAAATGGCAGGATAAAAGAAGAGGAATAAGCTACAAAAGTTATTCCACAAAATGTGTAATAACTTTGTAGCTGCTATCACACCAGTAATTGAACAGATGGCCATCAGCTGACAAGCGTTCCAAAGCTGGAGTGGGGACAAATGTGCACTCCTGAACCTGGGAGCTCCCAGCCAACATGGCTTCTAGCTTGCAGAGGGGCCCCACACCCCCATGGCTAGGAGACCGCAGCTGTGGGGCCTTCCAGTTTCAGGAACTTGCTTCTTGCTGGTGCAGGGGGAGCCCAGAATCAGGCTCCCCCTGCACCAGCAATAAGGCATGATAGGATCCAATACTCAATTCTACAACCACACCTCTTGCTATGCATGTGTGGCATGGCAGGAAGCACAATTGTGTGCATCACACATTACATGTGCAGGTAAAGGCAAAGTGGGATCTAAAGGAGCCCCAAGGCCTTTCCTAGAACTTGTTTGGAAGCAAGACAGGCATGGAGCTTTACCCCTTAAAGTTGCTATTGTTACATGGTGTGCTATGCTTCAGGCCCCTGTTCAATGCTTCTCAGGAGCACTCTTCAGGGTCACAGGCTTGGTTTCCTGTGCCTTTTGTATGGGTGGAGCCAGTGATGTAGGATTCAGCTGCTTTTCCAGTCATTTCAAATACAACAGACCAAACTGTATTCGGCACCAACAAATTTTTCCTTCAAACAACATGAGACCACAGGCTGACTGAAGCAACTCCAACATGAACATGGGTCAGCAGTGTGGGGAAGCAGTTAGGAAGGCCAACTGTATCTTGTCATGCATCCATAGATGCATCTCAAGCAGGTCCAGAGAGGTGATCCTCCCGCTCTATGCGGCACTGGTCAGGCCGCAGTTGGAGTACTGCGTCCAGTTCTGGGCGCTGCACTTCAAAAGGGATGTGGACAGTATGGAGAGGGTCCAGAGGAGGGCCACTCGCATGATCAGGGGACTGCAGGGCAGGCCCTATGAGGAGAGACTACAGGACCTGAACCTGTTCAGCCTCCACAAGAGAAGGCTGAGGGGGGATCTTGTGGCCTGTTACAAACTGGTCAGGGGGGCGAAATCAGAAGGCATTGGGGGAGTCACTGTTCCCCCGAGCACAGCCAGGAGTGACCAGGAACAACGGTCACAAGCTAGCAGAGGGTAGATTTAGGTTAGACATCAGAAGGCGCTATTTCACGGTCAGGGCGGCTAGGGTCTGGAACCAACTTCCAAGGGAGGTGGTGCAAGCTCCTACCCTGGGGGTTTTTAAGAAGAGGTTAGATGAACACCTTGCTGGGGTC